TATTTTGGTCATGTTGTCAAAAGGGACCATTCCCTGGAGAAGGATATCATTCTTGGTAAAGTGGAGGGTCGATGGAGAAAGGGAAGGCCATCAACAAGACGGACTGATACCGTGCTACAACAATGGGTTCAGGTATAGCAGGGATTCTGAGGCTGGCACAGGACCAAGCAGTGTTTCATCTGTTGTAAGTGGGATTGCTGTGAATCTGAGACAACTGGACAGCACCAAACAACAACAATAACAACACTGCTTACAGCCTGGCCTATTGTTTTTGACAGTGCACTGGAGCATACATTCCTCCATAGTCTGACACAATTATATTCTGGTCCCTTTGCATGCATAGTTTTTGAGACCAGACTGATCCCAAGAGAGAGTTGTCTTTTCTCCTGGCTCTCTGGTAAATTAGTTGTCCTATGGTGTGGGGAACTCTGGTAGCGTAGTGCCTAAGGCACTTGACTGCTAACCAGAAAGCTGGTGGTTCAAACCCACCAGCCACTCCTCGGAAGGAAGATGGGGCAATATACTCCCGTAGTGATACTGCCTCAGAAACCCAAGGAGGTCACTATGACTCGGGGCCAACTCGGCACATAACAACAACAACAACATGTTTTGTTTAACTAGTTGCTCTCAGAACTAACACCTTCTTCTTAAATGCTTATCATCAAATTGTCCAGTCTTTTTGAGATCACTCTTAGGCTTGAATTTCCCAATACCCTTTTCCAAATAAAATCATTTCCCTTGGGAAAGCTTCAAAGCTCTTTGTTCCTGTGATATGCCTCTGCCTTGAGCAAAATCTCCGTACTTTTATTCCTGAGCTGGGGTGGTGATAGTGGCCCACATCCTTCTGAGTGACACCTCTTCTTTACAAGAAAGGCACTGGATTTGGACAGTCACCTCTGGATTTCTCAGTTTGCCTTTCCTGGCTTGGAGCTTCGTCCTATGATTCACCTGGGACAATAATTAGAACCCCAGTATTATCAGCTATGCCTATTTTCAAATAGCATTTGTCAAATGAGATTTATGTAACTTTCTCATTTTCTCAGAGACCAATAAAATAAAACTATTTCTTTTAGTTTTCTGAACTAACAATATGCAATACTTGATAGTGGTGACCTTTTATAAGAGGTTTCTATAAGCTTTACAATTATTCTGGATATATGATTAATTAAAGTCTGGGGACAGACTCCCATAAGATCTCCATCAAGGTTTCTCCAATCTGGTTGTAGACACCTCAGTGGAAGTTGTTAATATACTTGGTCTGATCCAGAAGATAATATTGACTCCTTATACTCTGGCCTCAAACCTGAGCCAGGTGCAGAACAGCAATGTAGTTAATACATTTCAGAATTTCTGAGATGTCAGAGATCAGGTTTTCAATGTAAGAATTGACTAATTTAGTCCCAAACATCCATGAGGCACAGAAGGGATGACTGCAGAGGCTGGAGGTTCAACAGCTAGAAGAACTGAGGTGGGTGACATTCTTTCTCTACCTACTAATATTTAGGGCTCTGGTGGCATAGCACCTAAGGCATTTGACTGCTAACCAGAAGGCTGGCAGTTCAAACCCACCAGACACTCCTTGGAAGGAAGACTGGGCAATCTACTTCTGCAGAGGTAAGGCCTTGGAAACCCAAGGAGGGGTCGCTATGAGAGTTGTGTTTTTGTTTGTTTGTTTGTTTTCCTACAAATATATTGATGATTTTTAGCTTGAAAGTTAACTCTGGTTGTTCAGCATGTCCAAAATCACAGAATGAGACAGAATATTTTAAAAAATAAGTTTGGGGAACACTAAAAGAAAACCTGCTTCTCATACTGATTAATAAATGTTATTAAATGCATCCAACTGTCATTTGGAAAAGAGAAATAACAAGAATTCAAGTGCTTTGGAAAATATGTGAGTTAAAGAGTTGTGAAAACCTGGCAGACCTGATGTGAGAGAGGGCAGTTCTGGAGCCCAAAAGTCTGAACTTTCAAACTTCCTCCTCCACAACCTGATAGAGGATGTAGTGGTAGCTTGCTTCTGCGTCTCTGTGAGCACGTCCATTCATCTGCTTATGATAGTCAATGAATGAATTCATGTAAAAATTTATGAATAGTGTTTGGCACTTGATAAGTCCTCCATCAATGTTGGCTATTACTGTTATCATTAATCTTCCTTGTATCATTGCTTCCTTTATACCTCCTTTGGAGGTTATCAATGTCCTCTAGCAGTGCATCTGTTGAGGTTACTGCCATCACCTACACAATGAATTGTACATCACAAAGACTGAGTTTTTGTTGACTATCATTTTCCGGAAGAGTTTAAGGATATTTGGAAGAGCAAGGGGAGTTAAGAGTGGGAGGAGTCTGTCCAAACTTTTCTAACAGAGAGCTGCCTTTTGTCATTTACACAAAAACTTTCTGGAGTGTTTTCTTTGATTAACAGCAGTGATCGTAGCTCATCTGAATAGAGATTGTTTACAGGGCACATATTACCTTTAGGAGAACGTAACAGAACATAGTTATTTGGAGCAGTTTTAGCTAAGATTACTCACAAAATTAAATTTCATTTTTTAATACTAGAATGAAGATTACCAATGTTAACAATTTGGACCCATTTGTGGAGCTTTTTGTAGTGTACATTAGGTCAATTTACCTTTTAGTTAAGACTCTCTAACAGATTAAATAGAAATTTTGATGGATTACCATTTCCATGCTCAATTTTCCTCATCAATTTCAAAAATTATTGCCCCTATGGGATTGTAAAGAAGGTTGGAAATTACCTTGGAGATCAAACAGTCCTACTCTTTAATTTTAAATATGAAGAGTGTGCTAAGTTGTTTGCCTTGGTTATAGCATACAAATTTGTCATTTTTTTCTCCACTTTTCATTTCCAGAATAAAATTCCATAAGTCTTCCATAGTCAATGATACTATTTTTCTTAACACTGATTCATTTTGCATATAATATTTTAGCTTTATGGGCCCCTATTTTCAAAAATTTTTCCCTTTATTTCTCTTCTCAAAGAAAAGTAAAACTTCATTAAGAGGAAGTATACACGTGCCAACAAGGATGGTGACTGAGAAATATCAAAAGTAGGGGCCCTCCCAAAAGCAAAAAACCCCTTCCAAGAATTACAGTATATCTAACAGAAAACATGGTGCTTGTATCAGATTATAGAAACTTTAGTCTTAAAACAGTCACTGAGAACTCTGTTCACATTTTATTGGATGCTGGACTGTATATTTTAATTTTTCTTCCTTCAATTAAAGGAGATAAATAAAGATGAAATGTTTAGAATAGCATGCAGTATTCCACTTAAATGAGGAAAAGTATTTATTTTATTATTGGCAATGTAAGCAAAAATTCTGACTGCTAAACCCTAAAAAGGAGAGTATTAGCTGAGAAAAAACCAATCACTTCTGAGTTTGAGGAGAAAACCTTATGAATATATGATTTCATACAACTGAGAGAGAAAATGGTATATTTTCCTTGGCATATTCTCCTCCAAGGACAAGACTGTAAAACCATTTACACAAATTTTGGTTTTGTTCTGTAGGCAATAGTGGACAACCCAGAACTTTAATTGAAAAGAAGATTACTTCTGTGACTCAGGACACATTTTTTTGAATCAAGAGGTCATTGGGTTAGTTCAGGAGAAAATTGAACTAGAGAAACAGAAACCATAGCAGAAAACAAAAGCTAAAAATATATTAATTATGAAGGTCGGTATAACTGAGAAATAACAGCCTTCCTCACATGGAATTTCCCTAACACTGTAGGTCTCTGGAGTCTAGTTGGGAGTTCCTCAAGAGATTCTTAAAAAATGCTATATGGGAGCTGATTAGCATAGTGCTTTCCACACAGCCAATGTAAGACAGAAAATATGCCAAAAGTAAAAAGAAATTCCAAGTATGTATGAAAACCCAGGTAGGAAGATAAAATCATATATTGTCTTTTATAAAAGGATTAATTTTTTTAACCAAATAAACATAACTGTAGTCCTAAGTGTATTGATTTGATTCAACAGGACATTTTTCAAACTCTTATTTTACAAAAGTATATATAGTTTTTATTTCTGGTGATAAAAATACATGAGGTGAGGGTGTTGGCAAAGTTATGAACACTTCTTAGTCATAGCCAAACACCTTGTGTGAATGAGTAACTGAGCCTGGGGGCTCAGGACCATAGTCTCAGGGAATATCAAGGTAATTTGGCATAAAATAGTTCTCAAAGACAATATTCTACGTCCTACTTAGGTGAGTAGCAACTGGGGTCTTAAAAGCTTGCATCTAAGGTGCAACTACTGGCTTTGCCCATCAGGAGAAAAGAAGAGTGAAGAAAATTAAAAAGGCAAGAAAACAATTAATCCAAAGGACTAATGGACTACGCTAACCCAGCCTTTATGTCCCTGAAACCAAAAGAACTAGATGGTTTCCAGCTACCCAGTCAAGCTCTCTGAAAGGGATCATAATAGAAGGTCCTGGAAAGAGTGGGAGAAAACTGTGGAACAAAACTGGGGAAAAAAAAAAAAAAAGACCAGACTTACTTATCTGATAGAGACTGATGGAACCCCTGAGACTATGGCCCCTACACACCCTTCAAGCCTGGAGCCAAACTCCTCCCTGTGGCTCAACTTTTCAGCCAAACAATTGGCAGGCCTATAAAGTGAACAATAACATCAAGGAGGTACACGCTCATGAGAACAACCAACCATATGAGATCAAAAGGTGAGCATTTGCCCAGGTACAGAACTCAGAAGGCAGGAAGGGATAGGACAAACAGAAACAGTAAACATAGAGAGAAAATTGTTGAGTGCTTTTACATTGTGAGGACTGCAAGCAATGTCATGAACCAAAATCATGTATGAATTGTTGAATGGAAAACCAATTTACTCTGTAAACTTTTACCCAACTCACAATAAAAACTTTAAAAAATTATTTTAATAAAGCACCATAATTACTGTTGTGTTATTTTGCTTCTATAGGTTTTCTGTTCAGCTGGGACATTTGAATAAAAACATGGACCAAAATAATGACAGCTCAACTGATTTCATCCTCCTGGGGTTATTTCCAGGGTTCAGGTATCCCTACCTTCTCATCCTTATCGTCCTCCTCATCTACACCATTGCCTTTGCTGGAAATGCCCTCCTGATCCTCCTCATCTGGTTGGACTCTTGCCTCCACACTCCAATGTACTTCCTGCTCAGCCAACTCTCCCTCATTGACCTGGCCTATATTTCCAGCACAGTCCCCAAGACAGTAACCAACTACTTCACAGGGAAGAAGAACATTTCCTATTTTGCTTGTGCAACTCAGCTGTTTTTCTTTCTCACCCTTGGGATTGCTGAGTGTGTCCTGCTGACCCTTATGGCCTATGACCGCTATGTGGCTGTCTGTAACCCCCTGAGATACACAGTGCTCATGAGTCCCCAGGTCTGTTTGCAGATGGCTGCTGCGGCCTGGATAGGAGGAGCTCTTACAGCTCTTGTCCATACCATCTACCCAATGCATTTCCCTATCTGTAGCTCTAGGGAGATTAATCACTATTTTTGTGAGATGCCTGCTATCTTGAGACTATCTTGTGTGGACAAATCAGCCTACGAGATGGTGAAACTTGTGACCACCATTTTGTTTCTCCTAGCCCCATTTCTTCTCATTCTGTCATCCTACACCCTCATCTCCCTCACTGTCCTGAGGATGAACTCCCAAATGGGGAAGAACAAAGCCCTGGCCACCTGCTCTTCCCACCTGACTGTAGTGAGTCTCTTTTTTGGTCAGGCCATCTTCATCTACATGACACCCAGCTCTTCTCATACACCTGAACAAGACCAGATTGTTGCTGTTTTGGGCACCATGGTGACCCCCATGCTCAATCCCCTCATCTACAGTCTGAGGAACAAAGAAGTAGTAGGGGCTCTGAAGAAGATGATAAGAAGGTTTTGCAGCTGTGAAATAAAGCATGTCTAAATTGGTCCTCTCTAGAGAAGTGGCAAGTCTCAATTTTCATATCAGTCATAGTCAACTCAATCCCTATGACGTTTTGTTGAAATATGATACCAAGTTTGAAAGGAAAAGCATACAGGCCCATGTGCTTTGGCATTCATTTGTCGCAATGGAGTCCTCCAGCTCATAACAGAGATACAAGTTGAGTACAACTTCAATGTTTTATTTTATATTATCTTTGGGGGAGGTATTCTTGTTAATCTCAATTATTATTACTCTGCTATTACAAATATGGGAGCTCTGGTAGCATACTGCCTAAGGCACTTGACTGCTAACCAGAAGGCTGGTGGTTCAAACCCACCAGCCACTCCTCAGAAGGAAGGTTGGGCAATCCTACTTCCGTAGTGATACTGCCTCGGAAACCCAAGGAGGGGTAGCTATGAGTCGGGCCTACTCGACGGCAAATAACAACAACAACAACAACATTACAAATATACAAAAAAATCCTTAAACAATGTAATAATATACAGTCAGACCCAAATTAGGCCATTTTAGCTTAAGATCATTTAACTTTATAAATAGCTTGTTTCAACTTCTATTGTGGTTTAGGAGCATTTTAGCCAAACACTTTGGAGAATAATTTGACATGATTACATAAAGGTGAAGATATGCACAATTTAAAATTCAGCAGTCACCTATTCAAAATATCTCCACTTTATAGACATTCTCACACATGTGCCTTAGGTGATGAGTATGTTTTTAGGTGCTGTGGAGTCAGTTTCCACTCATAGCGACCCTAAGTACCACAGAACCAAACACGGCCCCATTGTGCACCATCCTCACAATCCTTGCTATACTTGAGCCCATCGTTGCAGCCACTGTATCAATCCATCTTATTGAGGGTCTTACCCTTTTTTGCTGACCCTCCACTTTATCAAGCATGATAACCTTCTTTAGGGTATGGTCCCTTCAACATGACCAAAGTAGGTGAGAGGAAGTTTGGCCATTCCCGTTTCAAAGGAGCATTCTGGCTGCACTTCCTCCAGAACAGATTTGTTCATTTTTCTGGTATTTTCAGTATTCTTCACCAACATCATTATTCCAAAGCATCAACTCTTCTTTGGTCTTCCTTATTTGTTGTCCAGCTTTCATGGTATATGACATGAAAATAGCATGTCTTGAATTAGGTGCACCTTAGTCTTCAAAGTGATATCTTGGGGAGATTTGAAAAAAAATAATAAAACTGACTGCCATTGAGTCAATTCCAATTCATAGCAATTCCCTTTGGGTTTCCCAGGTGGTAAATCTTCATGGAAGTAGATTGCCCAGTCTTCCTTCCGTGGAGTGGTTGGTGGATTTGAACCACCAGCCTACTGGTTAACAGTCAAATGCCTTCGGCATTATGTCTCCAGAGCTCCTTTTAGAGAGATAAGAATATGAACAGCTATTAAAACAGTGTTTTCAATAGTAAAAGATTTTAAGACAGATTCAAAGTTCATTAATAGAAGAATGAAATAAAAATAATTACTTATGATTAAGATTAATACAGTAAATATTGCAAAATGTTTAAAATAAAGAATCAGAGCTGCATCATCAGTATAAATCAATATCAAGCATAATATTGATACAAAAAAGTTACAAAAACAGCTCTACATTGTAATAACACGTACCCATTGTTGTCATCAATTCCAACTCATAACAGAGTAGACCTGCCCTATAAGTCTTCCAAGGCTGTAATCTTTATAGAGCTGCTCTGGTGGGGTAGTGGTTGAAGCATTAGGCTGCTACCAAAGGTTCAGTGGTTCACACCCAGGTGCTCCATGGAAGAAAGATGAGGCATTCTACTTCCTTAAAGATTTACAGACTTGAAAACCCAATGAAAACCAATTTTTTTAAGAGTTTGTTTTACATTCAACGTAATGCATACATTTAGTTTTATTCCTCATTCGCCATGTCCAGGCCTAACCCAGTCTCCTCCCTCCCTACCCTGCAACCCTCCCACTGTGCCTCTCATATTTATGCACTCTTGTGTGTCCTGCATTTTTTACAAGACCTTTTGGCAGGAATGTGTTTCTCTTGAATATAAACCCAGAATGAGACTGACTGTGTTGTAGGTGAATGCAGACTCCACTACACAATGTGTTTACCTGTTTTCCCTCCCTCTGGCACTTCCTGAGGGTTCCAGATTTCTCACATCCTTTTGTATACGTTGTTATTAATGTTACTCAGTTATGCAATCTCAATGAGGATAAAGTGGCAGCTTATTGCTTTAATTTTCATTTCTTATGTTACAGGTATCTTTGAATACATCCTTACAAAATTATTGAAATTTTATTCCTCCAAGTTAAGTTAACGTCCAAATGAAATTCTCATTTCATAATCATCCATCTTTATCTTTTTAAAAATCATTCCTACTTCTTATTAATTTGCAAGGTGGTCTAGTAGCCTTGTCATGTTCTCACACTTCAAATATTTACATCCAGTTTGAGTCACATCTCCAAATTTTATTGTTGTTTGTTGTAGTAACTTTTATTAAAATAAATTTTTATTTCTGCTGTGGTCAAAGCCATCACCTTTTCTAAACTTCAAGGTATGTTATAGCAGTTCTAAAGAATTTGTTTCCACAGTCCAAGATCAAAAATATTTTTTATCAAAAGGGAGAAAATGCAGAACAGAATTTCAAATTTTCATGGAATGCAGAATTTTTGGAGTAACAGAAGCTAGGTGTACCCCCAAAACTATTGCCCTGAGATAATCTGTAGACTTCAAACCAAAAATATGCCCTTTAAATCAAACAACAATTGAGTTTAACTGGTAAAGAATTCTACCTTGAGCATGGTGATCTTTTTAAAATCTGTCTATAATGGACCAAACTGACAATAGTAACTTGAAAGAATAGTGAAGAAATTTAGGGACAGTCAATTTGTGTTAATGAGGGAAGAACAATTCAGAAAAGGTAGATAAGAGCGGTTGCACAACTTGATGAATGCAATCAGTGTCACTGAATTTTACTTGTAGAAATTGGTGGATTTCTGTATGTTCTGCTGTATGTGGTTTCAACAACAAAAAAATGAAAAAATAAATTATAAAAAAGGAACAAAATAGATATAAAGAAACTAATGTTATAGCTGAAGAGATAAGTTGTTGTTAGGTGCCTCAAGTCATCTCCGACTCATAGTGACCCTATGCACACCAGAACAAAACACTACCCAGTCTTGGTGCCAGCCTCACGATCCTTGCTATACATGAGTAAATATATCCATGAATGTAGTAGAGAATACAAGGGATAAAGTTCTGAAAGTTTCTTAGTCACAATAAAGCACCTTGAGGGCATGAGGTCTTAGAACCATAGTCTCAGGGACACTAAAGTCAGTTGTCATAATATAGTCCAAAAAGACAATGCCATTGGTCTACTTACCTTAAAAATTTGGCAGCAGAAATACCATTTGATACAGAAATCTTACTATTAGTTTACGTCCTAGAGAAGTGAGAACCAAGACATGAATAGATACATGCACACCCAAGATTACTGCAACTTTATTCACAATAGCAAAGAGATGGAAACAACCTAAGTGCCAATCAACAGATGAGTGAATAAACAAACTATGGCACTAACACAAGGAGTTTGGTGGTGTAATGCCTAAGGCATTTGACTGCTAACCAAAAAGTTGGCAGTTCAAACCCATCAGTCACTCCTTGGAAGGAAGTTTGGACAATCTACTTCTGTAGTGATATCACCTCAGAAACCCAAGGAGAGGTCACAATGAGTCAGATCCGACTTGATAGCCTTGAGTTTGGTTTCTGGTTTTTGGCACTAACACAAAATGGAATACTATGCAACATTAAAGAACAACTAAGAACCCATGAAACACCCCATAATGTGGATTAACCTGGAGAACATACTGTCTGAGTCCACTATTATAAAAAGTCAGGGGAAGATTTACACATGTAACAAAACATTCTTTGATGGTTACCAGGCAGGGGAGGGGAGAAGACAGAAAATTGTTATCTAGATAACAGGCACATATTAATTTAGGTGAAGTGAAAGGCAATACACAAAAGGGAGATGACCATTACAATATCCTTAAGGAAAAGGAAGAGGCGGAGAAGTGCAAATCCTATTACATACACAATCATGCATTATCAGTAATTACAAACATTAATCTATGAGTGAATGCATAGGTAGACAGCCAGGATGACCAGGTATAGGTAGGCAAATGGGACTCTACCCACAACCATATATGTTTGCCAGATGACATTTCTACATATATTTTTGTATGAGTTGTAAAAATATCCATGTATATAGCAGAGTTAACTGGTGGCAAAGTTATGAAATCTTCTTAGTCATAACCAAACACCTTGAGGAAATGAGTCACCAGGCACGAGGGCTCAGGACCAGAGTGGCAGGGGACATCAAGTTCAATTGGGATGACATAGTCCACAAAAACATTGTTCTTTTGGTGAGTAGTAACTGGGGGTCTTAAAAACTTGTGTGTAGCCATCTAAAGTGCAATTATTGGTCTCTCTTTGTCCAGGGAAAATAGAGTGAAAAAAAACACAAATATTCATGGAAACAATTATTCCAAAGGACTAGTGGACCACACAAAACTTAGTCTCCACAACCCTGAGCCCAGAACCAGATGGTGCCCAGCTACCACTGCCAATCACTCTCAAAGGAGATCTTAGAGTGGAAGAAAAATGTGGGACAAAACACAAAATAATAAAAACTACCAGGAATACCGGTTGGATAGAGATCGGTGGAACTCTGAGCCTGTGGCCCTAGCCACCCTTCAAGCCTGGAACTGAACTCATCCCAGTAGCTCAACTTTCACCCAAATAGACAGGATAAAACCAGGGAGGTAAGCTCTCTTTAGAACAATCAACCATATGAGATCAAAAGGGCAGGATTTACCTAGGCAAAAAGCTCAGAAGGCAGGACTGAATAGGAAAGAAGGACAAATGGAAATGGTAAGCACAGGAAGGAAGTGGAAAGAGTAGTGTTACATGGTGAGTACTGCATTTAA